GAACGTAGCACTTTCAAATTGGGATTAATCAAATTTTAATTGGTAACTAACACTATCAAAATGGGAATAAACAAAATCAAATTGGAAATAAACAATTTAAATTTGGTACTAATCAACTTCAAGTTACGCGTTTAAACCGTATATTAAATTAACAAAATGCCTTACATTAAAGCACTTTATGCAGAAAATGCTGAAAAGCAAATATGTGCTGTTTTTAATATCGAAGGCGACTGAAGAGGATTGGCTAACACACTGGGTATAAAAAAATCTACGCGTATCGATGGGTAGGTACCCAAGAAGTTGTTCGAAGGACGTGGAGGACAAAGAAAAGCAAACATTTTAGAAGAACATAAGTTATAAATGACTGGAAAATCCTGAAATTACGCTGAAATAAAAAAGAAAAATTTGAACAAAATCTCATTTTTCTCAAATTCGAAGAAATAGTTCATGATTCTCTAAGGAAGGAAAAACAAAGACAACGTCTCAAATATAATTTCTAAATTGAAGTCTATTCCCAATTTGAATTTGTTTCTTCCCAAATCAAAATTGATTAGCCGGAATTTGAAGTTGATTAGTACCAAATTAAATATGATTATTCCCAATTTGATATTGTTAATTCTCAATTTGATTTTGTTAGTTCCCAACTTGAAGTTGTTTAGTCCCAATTTGAAGTTGAAAAGGTATAGTATCAACAACAAGGAATTTGATTTGACCATCAACTTTTTCTACAGATTCCTTAAGAGCAAAGTAGACTTCGTAAAAAAACAAAATGCTGACAAGGAATTGGAAACGGTATGTGGCTGCTTAGAGAATGGACAACGACCTGGATGGCGAGCAATTTCCAGTTTTGGTCAAACTGTGGAAAGGTACATACTGCGAGATAATTTAGATAATTTAATCACACGCATTAATGGCAAACATCATACAATATTATTAAAACATGGGGTACCAACAAAACTACTTTATACTGATCAGGGGAGGAATTTAGAGTCGGAAGTATGAAAACAAGTGATTAGTCAAGTGAGAATAAGAAAAACAAGAATGACTCCACTTCATCCACAGCTCGACAAAATCGGTCATCGATCAATACGTTCTTCGTGATACTTGTGGATGAACAACTGGTGAATTTCTTCCTTACGGTTCATAGGAGCTCTAAGCATGAATCCACCGGCTATGCACCATCAATGCATGAAATTTTGTCCGTTATGTGCTTCCGTGACGAATATTTTTATGCATAGAATCGGAATGTCTGTACCGTAACATTGTCCCGGGTCCAAAATAGCCAACCATAATTGCTAAAATTTTCTCTATACCTTTTTAACTTCAAATTGGGACTAAACAACTTCAAGTTGGGAACTAACAAAATCAAATTGAGAATTAACAATATCAAATTGGGAATAATCATATTTAATTTGGTACTAATTAACTTCAAATTGCGACTAATCAATTTTGATTTGGGAAGAAACAAATTCAAATTGGGAATAGACTTCAATTTAGAAATTATATTTGAGACTTTGACTTTGTTTTTCCTTCCGATTACATTCAAGTCCCTTCAGGGCCGCAACTAGGGGGTCGAACTAGGCGCCCGCCCAGGGCGCCGGAGTATCGGGGCGCCGAAAGCGCCTAATTTAATCCATCCATATTTTACAATCCAAAAAAATGCAACGGTTTTACGCTTTACGCGTCAGTACGAAAATTTATTTTGCTTGTGTTACATCTCTCTTTGTCAACCAGCAACAATGGGGGATGTACACGATCTGACAGTTTGACACTATTGACAGTCGCCTTGAGGTAAAACAAAGATATAATTTACAGTGTTTTTTTAAGTTTTTAGTTAGATTTTTTTAAATAAATACCTTTTGTGTACTCCAGAAGTTTGTTGGACATGCCTAGAGTTTGTTTAGTTGTTAATTGTGGCAGTATAGCGCAAGGGATACAATATCCTTCTATAGGTTTCCATCAATTTTAAATAACAATGGGAGGTTGGATTTTTTAGCTCAAGAGAGAAGAGAAAAATTGATTAATGTTCTTAAAAGAGAAGATCTGACAGAAAAATAGATTGAATATAGAGTAACTATACTTATATATTTGTTCTTGTGACACTCGGTTTTGATATTTCTTGGGAAAAACCTGAATTTAATTCATTATAGAAAAACCTAGCAAACTTTTAGATGAAAGACCACATAGACTGGAACACAAACACTCCGCTCTAACTTTTTTAAAACAAAATAACACCAAAACTTGAGAAAAAGCTGTGAAAACCACATAAAATATAACCGGCCTAATCTAAACGAAAAACAGGGCGACTGTCAAATTCATTTGTGACGTCACATGGACATGCCCTATACGAATATCGATAGTAATCATATAAATTACTAGCTGACCCGGCGAACTTCGTACCGCCTTTGAATTATTAAATACCTATCTATTAAATGTTGTGTTAACGTATCTATATAGACTTGACTATATATTTCATCAAAATGAGATTTTGTTCAAAAATTTCTTTTATTTCAGCGTAATAACAGCATTTTCTTCTATGTATTCAGTCATTTATACCTTATGTTCTACTAAAATTTTTGCTTTTCTTTGTCCGCCACGTTTCCTTCTAACAACTTCTTGGGTACCTCTACATACCCATCGATAAGCTGTAGATTTTTTAATACCCAGTGTGTTAGCCAATCCTCTTCAGTCGCTTTTATTATTGAAAACAGCTTTTTTGCTTTTTAGTATTTTTTGCATCAGGTGCTTTAATGTAAGGCATTTTGTTAATTCAATATACGGTTTAAAAGTAACTGTCGTTTGACTTGCAAAACTTTGAAATTTATTCAACAATTCCAATTTGAAGTTGATTAGTACCAAATTTGAATTGTTTATTTCCAATTTGACTTTGTTTATTCCCATTTTGAACGTGTTAGTTACCAATTAAAAGTTGATTAATTCCAATTTGAAATTGCTACGTTCCAAATTGAAATTGATTGATCCCAATTTGAAGTTGAAAAGGTATAGAGTCGACATGCCATTAAACGAAGTGGAAGGGCTGCCAACAAAAATAATGCTCTATATTATTATTATGTATATCTGAAATGGTGGTTGTTTTGAAGTTTTGATTACAATACAGGGTGTATCGGGTATGAGTACAAATATTCTAACATGAGATGATATGGCCCATTTCAAGCTAAAACTGTCCCATTAACCATAGGTCAATTATTGTTAGTAATTTTGTAGTTATCGCAGAATTTAAATTTAGAAAAATGATGACGTGACAACATTGTACAGATATTATCCTTGCCAGGATATAAATGTAAATAAAACTGGTAAATTGAAAAAGGTTTTTTTTAAGGAGTTTTTTTATTTCCATCTGTTCACGTTTTGGTTTGTTATTGGTTTTCAAATAATGTAAGTAATAACTTGCATTTTTACCACTTTCCTAGTAAAAATAAAAAATGTGCCGTTTTATTAAGTTGTGAATTGCACTCAGTGACATTTTTGCACTAAACATTCAAGAATAAAATTAAATAATACTTACTCAGCTACTAGTCAAATCCTTATTATGAAAATATTAATTTTTGTTAAAAGGGTTTCTTTCAAAACACTAAACTCGACACGCAGTTTTGCACACTCACACTTTCCGTATCACGCAATCTCTGTAAAACGGGCACAATGTTCTTTCATCAGGTGGATGCCGTTCTCCTGGGAAATCTTTCCCTGTAATCTCTGGCGGCTAAATGAGCATTTTGAAACGATTCTGCCTAAACAAGTATCTGCATATCGGACGTTTGTAAAAATGTTATTTTCAAAAAAGAATGAATTACGCGCGTTTTCATGACAAGACAAATCAATTAATCAGGTCAACCAAGGTTCAACCACCTTTTCTTTTTTGTGCTATGTTGCCAGATGTTTAGATACTGAATTTCGAGTGAAATTATCATGATGTTTTTTCAATTTACTATTATTCTTGTTGACTAAAAATCCATAATTACTTAATAATTGAATGAACTAAATTTTTTACATCTCATATTGATTAAGATTTTTTTTATCTTCCAAATATTCGTCAAAAAATGTCAAAACTTCAATGGCCTATTTATTAAAAATGGTTGAGTTTGGACCCCATGTTGTATAAACTTTTTTTGTTCAAAATGGGCCATATCATCACGTGTTAAATTTTTTTGGGAGAATATATTAGATTTTGGTTAGTGGTTGAGGCTTTGTGATAACTTGAACTTTGAGCTATTGTGACTTGAAGTAATCAGTTGGACCGGTTTGTGAGGAGGTCAACTTCTATGCCGAGCCAGAGTTTTCCAGTCCTTTCTTATCTCCCACTCAAGACTCTACGGCCGGTATTGACCTTCCAGCAGTGCCTGTTTTTCCACGTAGTGGCTCTTCTGACTTTCGAGTAGAGCGTAGTTTAAATTTTGTCCCCAAAGGCCAACCCCAAAGGCCAACCACCCTTGTGCCAACGATAAGTCGGTCGTTCATTCTGCCGTTCATCTACCTTGCGAACTGTGGAGTTTGAGTCCATCGGAATGCTTTCGCTGTGGTTTTTGATTATTAGATATAGTCTTTGCCTTGAAGGTGAATGCTACTCGAGCTTCATTTTAAGCCCTCGGAACACGCTGATATGCATTGCTCGTTCTCGTTGAACGTCCGATTATCATTATTTGATCTTTTTGGGATCGGGACTTCCAATCGCATATGCAGCCCAGTTAGGTTTTCCCTCTGGCAATCAGGATTTTCTGAGCAACACTTTACCTGTGCACAACTTCAGTTTTTTCTTTAGGGGTGTCAAGACCCGCGGTTTTTGATCCTAAAAGGCATATAATAAATAAATTAAAATTAAGCAACCGATTGCAAAATTACTAACATGATTATTATTCTGCACTACAGCAGCATTATTACCTACTCTAATTGCGAAATAGCCATCACTGAATTGAATACCTACACAATATTGCAAATTATCGTTACCCAAATCTATGTTATTACTTGATTTTTATTTATTTCAGGAAAATTGTGAGGAATTCGAACAAATAGTATCGGCACAATGCCAAGCGTTAATAGAGGCCATACAAGTCCGAAGAAATACGCTTATAGAATGCATTAGGCAAGACAAGGAAGTGCGTGTTAGGGCTCTCAAAGAGCAAGTTACTACATGTACTACTAGGCTACAGCACACGACATCGTTACTACAGTTTTGTATCGAGGCACTTAAAGAGACTGACAGTTCTGCGTTTTTACAGGTAAGAATTTACTGATAATTTTATTTACGTAGGTAATTAGAGTCATTACTGATCTAATGCTACAATGAAGTATTTACCTAACTGAGTTGACAATCAAAATTCCAAGTTATAATAAATATTCGCTGTTAAGACTATCAAAATTATCATATTTTAAATTTTAAAGTCTCGAAAATAAAATGTTATATATTACACATCTGCTAGAGCATATCTTTACACTCGTAGGGTAGCCATAAGTTCTCGTGTAAATATTCCAAAATCGTGATTATACCAATGCTTATGGCACGATTATCATCAATAATTATAATGGGAGAGAGTAATAAGTAGCTTGTAGCATTGGCGATGAAAACAGAAATTCTTCTTTACACAAATTTACTGTATATTGTTTGTCCAGTAAGCTTGCAAGTCCCGCTGGTATCTATTTTGGTCTCTCAGCGTCGATGACGTTGACTTTTAAGGCCTCTACGTATTCCTCAAGCCTGACCTCGTGATGTCAAATATCCTGAAATAATCCTAATCCGACCTCTGATTGTCTTGAAGCGAAGTTCAAACAATTTTTTTCTTAACATAAAAATAATGAAACTTCTAGGACGATCTCAAAAACAGACACAGAATAAATACTAAGTAGGGAATAGGAATTTTTACAATTTGTCACGCTTCTCAATTTAAAGGGAAAATTGGGAAATTGAGATTGCAGGTCTAAGAGTCTAGTGCGAGCAAATTATTCCCTAGCTCAAATTTAAACATTTCGCGCCACTGATTTAGGGACAGAAAAGTCACATGTAATGAGTGAAGAGGGTAAAATAGACAAGGCAATTTTTTCAATTTATGGAAATAAAAATGACAATTGGTCATTATGCTTTTAAGTAGAGCATAGCGACTTACATAACACTCTAGACTCACCTTCACAAATATTCGTCGCACTCTAGTTTTCAATCTCTGCCCCTTTCCATGTTCACACTACCCAAAAGCTGAAACTAGAATCTATATCATCGTGCATACCGCACTTGATACATACTGTAGCAAAACGCCCCAAGTACTCTATGTAATTAGTTAGATAGTAAATGGCGAGCGGTATATTGATGGTGTTTATTTCCTTGGAGCTGCTACCTATAAAATTGTGGAAGTGTCAATTTAAATCAGCAAAATATCTTCCAATTCTGACAGCCTCATCTATTTTTCTAAATTCAATTACCTCACATCCGTTCAAAAAATGTCATTATTACCACTGAAATATCCATACTAAATAAGAAACGCCCTATTCCTAATAACTTATAAGTTTATTCATTTCAACACTTCCGATTCATTCCTATTAAACTACCCTTCACCTATTTCTATGAATTCTTTAAAATTTCTAAGTCCTTTACTGACTGCTTATGAGAAAAACCCAAAATAATTACCTATTTGTTTATTAAGGTTTAAAGTCAACCCCTATTTTCTGATCCTTGTGTTCAAAAATTCCAAAAAAAAAATATATGTTTTATGGTTATTGATATACTTTAATCCATAATTTTTTTAAACAAATTTGACTCGCCATATTTGACTTATATCGCAAAAACTGAAAAAAAAAGTGGTTTTTGAGCATTTATTTCAAAACGAATAAATGAAGTTTCCAATTAATTTTATTAGGAACTACTATTGCAATTCTACGCGACATATATTTTTTTCAAATTTTTTGAACCTGTAGTTTTCTCGCTACTGCAAAAATAGTTGGAAATACGCCTGTAACTACACTGTTAAAAAAAAAATCCGACGGATGAACGTTCAAAATTATTTGCGTTGGTCCAAATTACAACCCTGTTTATGTAAAAGGGCACACTGTAGGGGCAACAGCATTGACATCTCGCGTTGCTGTAATAAACTATAGGCCTGACTTTAAACCTTAATATAGGTATTACTAACTTATTCTTATAAAACCCTACAATAATTTCTACATAAAATTTAAAACCCTAATTCAAAATTCATTTCATGAACAATAAGTTTTCTTTAACAACTTTCCAATATTTTAAGACACAATTCTATTTCATGAACATCAAGTTTCTTTTCAAAATTTCCTATTCCATTTAATAGTTTATTTAATCAGAACAAATTCTATTTTCGGATTCCTAGCCTAGCTAATAAACCCAACTGTTTGATTCATAATTCCTACTCAAAATTGTATATTGTTAAGTGCATTATAAATTCCCTTCATATTTTCTTTGCACAATTAAATTAGAACGTCATTATATCTGAAGGCAATTAAAGTTATGCATTAATGTTCCATAGTCAAAACAGTCGAGTTATTAATATTTATGCAATAAAGTTCCAAAGTCAAAAAGTTTTTCTAGTAAAATTCACTCAAGTTTTTAGGCATTAAAAGTCATTGTTAATTCACTTCTCATCATTCAGAATCATTGATAAAAGTCAGAAAATTATTAACCACTAAAGTACTTACATTTAACTTTTCACGCGTAAAATTACTTAATTAATTACTCAAAAATCTTCTAGAGCCCGCACATAAGTTGAACGAATTTCAAATGTTATTTCTTTCACAATTTTCGGTACTTTTTCTAAGTTAAATCGAACGCGTTTTCCCCGAGGCCTTAATAAGAACTTTTCGCGAATTTCATCCCTTCTGACTCATTAGGTACTGTAGACTTTAACTCAAGCTGGACTGGACTGCTAACAACTGGCAACTCAACTGACAACTGCCTTCCATTTCTAAAACCGCGGTATTTATATTTAATCGATCCCCCCAAATTTCTCTGTCCATGACAATTAAGATGATGCAATTTCCTTGGAATTTTTATCATTTTTTAGTTTAAAAATCGAATAATTATGTCGCAATATCCTGATTTATCGAGGTCAATACATTGGTTCAAGAATGCCATTAATTATTCGATTTAATTATTATGGCCTCGTTAAAAAAGTTCATTGATCGGATGTTAGGATGACATCACGCTGAAGGAAATAATATAATTTCGAATGTATTTGGGGTCACATTAATTTGTTCCATTTTTAATTTATCGATCTGATTTGGAAATACCGGAAATTCAGTTTTTGTTTATTTGATATTATAATTCTTTTTTTTTCCGAATTAGGTTGGCACCATGTTAATATCTAGAGTAGCAAACACAGATCATTCGTGGCATAAGGAATGGACAGCACCCAGAGTGTCGCCACATTTCGATCTTACCCTAGATGACAAATCGGTATTGAAGGCGATAGAACAATTAAATTTTATTCAAATGAAACGTAAGTTTATTTTAGTTTCCATATTATTTCAAATAAATGCCGTTCAAATACCGTCCAATCCAAATAAATATTTGTTGAAAGCATGCTTAAACCTAATACGCATACGAGCGATTAAAGCAAATGGGTCATTTAATTTAATAATGTTTATTTTTGTTGTCTAACAAAAGTAGAAACGTGAAATTTACTAATTAAAATAAATTGAGGGATTTATAAAACATGAAAACAACATGTGTGGGCAAACAGGCATTTGTGCCTTTTATTTAGGTATTATAATTCTGTGTTAATTTGATAATTCCTTTAATAATAATAATTTCTATTGATCAAATAATAGTAAGTAGTCTGAATTTGCCTTTAATTACGTGGAATTATTGTAACTTCACTGAATTCTGTCAGTATAGTTGTCTTTAAGTTTCTACTCCAAAGAGTTTCTGTTTATCTTCAAATGCTGTTTACGAGCTTTTCTTCAGCATCAACTCATAATTAAAATAAAAAAATTAAATGTTTATTAAAAATTAATAATAATTGAACGGTGTCATAGGTTCCATAACTTTGGGGATATAAGTTCTAATGATTGATTCCTCAGTTGAACTAGAATTTCAAAATTTATATTTTATCATGTTTTATGTAATTTAGCATTCATTGATGGGGAAGAAAGAGTACCGGCAGGTAAACTAGCATGAAAATGCTAAAAGATGCATGGAAAACTATATTTTATAAGCATGGTTTATAATTTATTTAAATTTTTGGTAGCATGTTAAACATAATTAATTTTAAATCTTTCTGCAATTTTTATATTTTTTTTGTGTGCTCAAGCTGATCCGCATTCTAAACGAGAATCCGGTACATAATATTTACTTTAACGGTAATATAAATATAATATAACGTTCCAATATTGTTATGTACGCAAACACGAAACTCCATTAAACATGTTTTCATACCGAAAATGGTTTGTTTTTAAAGAAAACATTTGGAGCATGCCTGTTTAGATTTTGTGTATTCAAAAGCTAGCCAGATACAAAACGAACAAGGATGAAAATAATAATTATTATTCTATTTCTGGTTTTGATATGCTATTTTATAATTTTGCCAGCGTTTATTTATTGTTGAAATTACAAAGTGATTCGGGTGAAGAGTTTCATGATAATTCAACAAAACGTTTGTACCAGAGACGAAAAACAAGTATCTATTTATTTGATAAAACTAACCATTACATAATAAAGTGCTGACAGAAAATTAATAAATAGTAGTACCTACATGAATTTTAATTTTAATAGAGTAACACCAGAACTTCATTGGTCAAACAATAAATTCATAATGCATAGGTACTTGATAGCTTGTTTGTTGTAGTTTGCGCGAGGTTATACTCATCTTTAAAAAAAATCTACACTCAGTGGGTTCTGATATATTTTTAATCCATTTAATTATAGGTACCTACATACCTACATTTTTGGCTGCTGATAATGGGCACGTGTCTCAAAGCTTTAAATGAAATTAACTATTTCAGTAGAGTAAACTAAGAGTCTGTTAAATATCCTGTTACATATCCCACTTTGAGATAGGTCATCAGTACCTAATGACTTCACCAATATAGCGTTGAACTTGTTTTTCGTTTCTGGTATTCCTGAGAGCCAACATTTTTGGGCCCAATAAATATACCTTCTACCTGAATCACATTGTAAAAAATATTTGATTATATGTAATACAAAGTAAAGTATTGTTTCAAAAAAAATCCAATAAAAATATTCTCTCCTATGTAGCTCCAGCTGCCCCAACAATAATTCCGGAAGAATGCAGCGCAGAAAATAATTCGGTAACAATAGCGTGGCAACCTCCGCCCCACAGCCACGTTGAAGGGTACGTTTTGGAGCTCGACGACGGCAGCGGTGGAGATTTTAGGGTAAGTCGCCCCAGCAGCCCCCCACAATGATTCTCTAATCCCTATTAATTATTAAGGTAGTTATTTTGTAGTTCGCAAGGTGTAAAATAGCCGGGGGAACTCGTGTGCAAGTGCGCGCGAAGGGGTTTAGCGTTTAGCTAAATGCATATTTAACTAACTGTGGCAGGATTTCGGTGCGCCAAGACAGGGATTTGTCAATGGAAGTTTCTGGTCGTTAATTTTAAAGCCAATAGCGTGTTGTTGTCAAATAATAGAAACGCTTTTTTTTATCTAAGTAGGTACATTAATAATTGGAACGGAATAAGGTAACGGATATCTGTTATTTGACTTCACCGGTCAAGGAAACAAGAAGAACTGAAGGGTGGTTCCACCACCCAAGATCTACTTTTAGAGGCCGAAGATGCACCGCATGCAATCAGTCCAAAAGTTACCAGGAAGTACCTGAAAGTTGTTACAAATAATACTGTTTATTTGCACTTTAAGACAAGAGAACCTATAGAGTCGTGAAATTCAAAAATTAAGATAACGTGTAGCCCTTTTATGAGGAAAGGCTAATTGTAGCGCAAATGATAACAGTGTTGCCGGATTTCCCTATGACAGCCGAGAAAATTAGGTTATGTTTTTTTTTTGTTTGTTGTATTTTATTTGAATTTGAAAGTATAGGGCGCGAATATTTTTGTGTATTTCAAATTTTAACGATATTACTGTTTTCTATTTCTGCGACCTGTAGGTTTTTGTTTCTCAATAATAATTACGTATTAATATTATCCTATCAAATACTATCGATAGTTCGTGGTGTGGTGTTCTAGAGTTAATTAGTTATATAATAGTTATTTTAATAAATTTATTGTGATTGGGAGTTAGAAAATAATGGAAAGTGGACCAAGTAATAGTGCTACCTGTGAATTTTGTGCTGAGGTTTTTTCCAAAAAATACCTCATAACAGACACTTGAAAAACAGTAATAATTTCAAAAATGGTAAGGATATTACTTAGAAGAAGTCACAGTATTTTATATTAGTTGACGTTTATTTAATAAAGTCTGAGAAACAATTGCTTCTCTGGAGAAAGAGCAATCCCTTCTTTTACAGTTCCGGAATATGCTTTTGCAATGCTTTGTTCAAATGTTTGGAGGATTGCCAAGTGTCATTTAAAACAAACCAGGAGTTGAGAAGGTATTTAACAACTAAGCATGGTTTCGAAATAGTGAATCACTCAATGAAGTTTCATAGATAGTTAAAACAATTAGAAGTAAGTAGGCATACTTAATTACAATGACTCATCAAGTAAAACATATACCTCTACTTATTATTTATTGTTAAAAAGTACCTACCTATTCTAATTTATCATTATTTGTTGAATCATGACCATGTTGTAACAAATGCATAAAATGCCAATTGAAATTGAAAATAGACCTTTTGCACTTAAGCATTTTTCATGTTTTTTTTTATTAATAATAAAAGGTGAAAAAGAAATACCCATCAAGAATAAGAGCTTTATTATTAATATTATATTGCTAGAATAATCTATGAAGATGAATATGTCGAGGAATATGTATATCTATGAAAAGAACTCTGATATTTAAGAAAAAGTTCCATTATCTCAAGTAGATAGACCTAACCAAACCACAGCCACCTTAGCTAGCAAAAAAAGGCTAAAAGTTTTGGATTTCAATCAAAAAACAAAACCATGTGAACTCACTAGTTTTCACATAGGTAAGAGTGTGTTTCTTTCATAAATGTATATTTCTCAAGTATCCATGTACAGGGTGATCCAGTATAAAGTGAACACCCCCTACCTTTTCGCTAAAAAATTTTTTTTTGAAAAAATCAAGATAGCCATTTCATGTATTTTGTTTCTAGGAATTTGAGAATGTTTTTCGAAATTAAATTAAATTTTCCATTAAAGCGCTGTGACGACAAAAGTAATTTTTTTAAATGGAATAATCTATATTTAAATCCATTTTCTAAACGCCCTTATTTTTCTCATTTCAAGTATATATAGTTTGTTTATCTTTATTTTAGTAATTTGCGATATATTCTCACATAAGATTTAAATAAAAATAGCCGAAAATTAAGGTATCAAGGTAAATCTAAATAATTTTACCTTTAATAAAATTACTGGTTATTAGGTTTTATCATACCTTTTCCGCTATTTTTATGTGAATTTTAGAGTGAGAATATATCGCAAATTACTAAAATAAAAATAAACAAACTATATATTTGAAATTAGAAAAATAGGGGCGTTTAAAAAATTGGTTTAAATATAGGTTATTCCATTTAAAAAAATTACTTTTTCGGTCACTGCGCTTTAATGAAAAATTTAATCAAATTTTGGAAAACGTTTTCAAATTTCTAGAAACAAAATACACCAAATGGCTATCGTGAATTTTTGGAAAAAAATTTTTTTAGCGAAAAGGTAAGTGGTGTTCACTTTATACTGGATCACCCTGTACATATGCATGTAATTAATATTTTCTATTTTTAAAGTAAATTATTATTTAACCAATCAAAAATATTAAAAGTTAAAATTTTCCATTTTTAGCGTAAACAAAACACCACACGGACTCACAATACTTGAATAATATAGAAATAGAATTCTATTTTCTATTTTAAATACCCGCCAGCTGGAGAGGGAACGGCAACGCTGTACTCATTTGCGCTACATTTAGCCGCTCCTCTTTTATGTGCAAATTAAACCACTCAAAATCCAACAAACAATAATTTTATTTTACATTCGTTTACAATGTAGTAACAGTGTTACTTTTCTTTAAAATTTGACAGTTGACAGCTTGGTTGTTCTGGTGAATCTGATACAATATGTTCCCGAGCTCTTCAATCGATGTTGGGGTTTCACTTTCGTGAACTGGAGCTCTTCGTGTTGTTTCCTGTATCTAGGAAAGAGGATAGATTGCTGGGGTGACGTCACTCCAGCTGATCCAGACTCCAAACAGTGATCTTTTATGTCCAGTAGGTACCTAGAAAAAAATAAGGCAGCATCAGGTTCACCAAGATTTGGAATTTTAAATCCCTGAATTCTGTCGAAAAGCGAGTGTCTTGCAAAGAAGATTTAAATTGAAATTTATTATAAAACTATTATTGTGCAGACACTCCTTTCCAACAGAATCAGGTAAGTATGTAAGTATTTATTAACCCAAAACTCTGAATTGACTCACCTTAGAAAAAACGTGGAACCACCAATCACACACAGAATGGAGGCCCACAATTAGATAAAAAATTAAAATATAATACCTATATTTCAAAAGTAGATAAGATAATATTTATCAGGTAAAAACTCAACAGTGATATGGTAGTATACACTGATGGTAAAGTAAATTGAAAAATTATTAAGGGAAAATCTAGAAATTCAAAAGAAAAAATTATAAAAATGGAATCAACTTGCCTGCTAGGCTACTGCCAAAAGAAGAGAGAGTTTTTTTTACATTTAACTGCGTATTAACCAGATGGACCAATCAGAAGACTACACTCAACATACACAAAAGAGCGTGCTCACTTATCAATGAAACACCACGTTGATTAAAAGAGAATAGATAAAAACCCCCTAAAAATTTAATTATTTTAATTGTTTACAAATTACAATAATTTAAATTAAGGTTATGTTGAAGCTACGGGGATGAGAAAAACTGAAAAAAAGTTCCCCCTCAAATCAATAATAGACGTGTCCGAGCGTTTTCCCAGATTTCCATTCCAAATCCAATAAATCCGAGTGGACTGTTTTCCCTGTATATATGATTCCAAAATCTCAGAATATTGTTTTGGCAGAAACAGTTTCAATTTATAGTCCAGTCCTTCATGCCAAACTTTGTCATAGGCTTGCTGCAGAACAGACTTTTCTCTCTTCCAGCGATTTTTCTATTATATTGGTTATTCTGTACTTGCTCGATCATAGAGTGCTTGTCGCGGAATCCAAATTGATGAGGTGGAATGATTTCCTGTCTTTCTATGATTGCTTTCATTCTTCTCAGAGCTTAGATAAAACTGGCAATAATGATATTGGCCTATGACATGACAATCATGAGGTGGTTTTCCGAGTTTTGGTATCATGATAACTTCTGCAACTCTCCAAAGTTTAGATGGGTACGTATCTAAGCCTGAGAGACGCATTGAAAAGGTTGCATAGTTTTACAATAGCTTTCCTAGGGAGTTGTTTTATTACTTCCGCAGAAATTAGGTCATATGAGCTTTTTTCGGACTAATATTTTGTTTGATCTCTGCTAATATTTCTCTTGGTGAAGTAGGCTTGATGTGGCCTCCTTGATAAGGGTCATTCCAGGGACTGCTTCGTTAGGTGATATGTCTTTTCTAAATGTCTTTGGTTTTTACACTTACTGCTGTAGCTTGAATTTCTATTGTTTTATATCCCGTCTCTTCTAAAATCCATTTCACCAAACGAGATAGTGACAGTAAACAAACTTTGACAGGTAAGTCGAATTTTATTGGCTAGAAAAGGATTATACTCCGCCCAAGGCAGGCCCTTCCTAGGTTGTTTTGTATTTCTCTTCGCTGAATATATTTCCGAACGAATTTTTCAGCGGAATTTGTTGAACTTGATATTGTTTTAATCTAAATTGCTCACTAATTAACAATAATTCACCAAACACTATTTAAATAATTGTAAAATACGAGGAAATACGACATTAAACTTATTGACTCATATGACAACCTGACAATAATAAATTTCATTAGTTGTAATTCATATTTTTTCAGTCCTTCTCTGAATTTTTAAGCTCCGCCTGTTTGTTTACCTCTACTATCTCGTTTGGTGGAATGAACTTTATGTGATACATGTTTTCTTTAATCATGACAGCGCTTCCTCCATGTGCTGTATTGCTAGGATGAATTGTATTATACACTTTATATCCTTTAAATTTAATGTAAGATTGATTTGTGAAATGCGTTTCTGATATCAGGTAAATGTCAATCTTTTCTATACCTAGAATAACTTGCAACTCTTGCTGATGGTGCAAGAAACCATTGGCAT